ATTTGTGCGGTGTGCCTGCGGCAGTTTCCATGTGCGTTTGTCTTCGAACTTTTTGCTGCACCGTCCTCTCTCCCCGCCCTCCCCTTTTGTTTGATTGCGTGCTTCTTATCCTCCTCAGAAGGAATCTGCGAGGTGAAGCGTGAGTCATGGCGATTCGAGGGCTTGCCGCGCAGTGTGTGTCTTCTATCACCAGAGGCAGCCGCCTCCTTCGCCGCCCGGTGCAGCAACAGCGTCGCTTCTTCATGTTTAGTGCTCCGCGCTTGGGAACATTCAAGTACCGCCACACACGAACCATCCCCGACGACGCCGTTAACCCATTGACGACTCCAACAAAGATTGACGCGGGCACGTTGCACATTGTCTCTGTTCCCATTGGGAATTTAAAGGACTTTTCTATTCGTGCTCTTGACGTTCTTCAACAGGTCGACTACATTGTCACGACGGATAGGCCGGCGACTAAGACTTTATTGGATTTGGTGCATATTGAGGCTCAAGGTCGCCTTATTCACTACTCGCGCAGCAATCGCACGGCATCCAAGGAGAAACTTGTGGAACTGCTGCGGGGAGGAAGAAGCATGGCGCTGGTTTGCACAAGTGGGACGCCGTGTGTGGGTGATGTGGGGAGTGAGTTGATTCGGGAGATGCAATCGGCGGGGGTGCGTGTGTCGGCCGTGCCCGGCCCCTGTGCCTTGACGTGCGCACTGGCGGTTTCTGGCGTCACTTTCTCCCCGTACGAGAGCGGCACTTCGTCGCCGTCGTCCTCCACGCACGCCGAAGTTCCTTCCCTCGCCTCCCTGCGTTCTCTTCGCGATGGGTCTTTCTTTTTTGGAAACATGTTGCCGGAGTCCCATGGGGCACGTCTCCGCATTCTTCGAAATATCGTCGGAGCGGCGAATTATCCCTGCGTCTTCTACGAGATACCGCGACGGCTGTTGTCAGTCCTGCAGGACGTGGCGTTGGTGCTGCCCAGACGTCGTGTTGTCGTCGCCCACGAGTTAACAAAAATGAATGAGTCACTGCACGCGGATAACGCCGACAAACTACTGGCCTTCTACTCCCGGCAGGAGGCATACGTGATGCTTAAAAAGGGGCAGCTGGTGCTCATCATTGACGGCCCTGACGCCAGTGAAGCACAGGAGCAGTTGCGGCGAGAAGCTGAGAAACGACGGCGATTGCGGCGGGGCATCGCAGAGTTTGTCGGCCAAGGCCGCGACGGTGAGGAGTCGGGTCAAGGAGTTATTCAGCCAAAACCTCAAAGCCGGCGCGAGCTGCTTCGAAGGCGGCGTCGCAAACGGCTTATCATGAAGATTGAGAAGGAGCAAGAAAAAATTAGAATGGCCATGAAGATCAACCACACAGATGCGTCCAAACTCTGAATGGGCGTACGTGTTTCTTTGATAAGTCGGTTGCTGTTATTATGACAATTATTACTATTTTTTTTCTTCGTTGCTGTCCTTGTTATTGCTCTTTCTCTTGCCTGTTGTTTGGGTTTCCGCACATGAGGGCGGCTT